AAAGAATTTAATCTCTTTTTGGAGCCAGAGGGATAGTACAGGGGTAAAACAATTGCTTTTCATGTGGCTGACCCTGGTTTGATCCTTGGGACCTTGTATTGTCCCCTGAGCACAGCCAGGAGTGATTCCTAAGCACAGAGCCAGGAGAAAGCCCTGAACATTTGGGTGAAACCCCAAAACAGAGAAGACTATATCTTTGTTTTGTTTGGGGGCCACACCAGCTCAGGGCTTACTCAAGGCTGGCTCTGTACGCAGGGATCACTGCTGGCAGGACTCGGGGAACCATATAGGGTAGCAGGGATCAAAGCCGGTCATCCCCGGGCAAGGTTTGTGCCCTACCAACTGTACTATTGCTTGAGCCCCCTGATAAATCTATATATTTTTTGAGGAATTTGAGGGTCTTACCCAGTGATCCTCAGGGACACTGTAGTGGCTTGGATCAAACAGCGTGGACTGCATGCAAGGTAAGTGCCTCAGTTCCTGTGCTATCGCTCTGCTTGCCCTCCTAAGAATACAGTTTGATGAAAATATATGGAAAAGGGGGAAGGACCAATAGTACAGCAGGTAGGGCATTTGCTTTGCAGGCAGCGTACCAGGGTTTGATCCCTGGCATCCCAATATACTCCCCTGAACACTGCCAGGAGTAATTTCTGAGGGCAGAGCCAGGAGTAACCGCTAAAAGCATTGCTGAGTGTGACCCCCTAAAAAAGAAAATATTACATAGAAAAATAAATCTACAACAATAAGACATTGTTTAAAAGTGCTATGTAGAAAACTGTTCTAATTTAATTGACTAGAGCAATAGAACAGCGGTAGGGCGTTTGCCTTGCACGCAGCCAACATGGCCGACCCGAGTTCGATTCCTCCGCCCCTCTCGGAGAGCCTGGCAAGCTACCGAGAGTATCTCGCCCGCACGGCAGAGCCTGGCAAGCTCCCCGTGATGTATTCGATATGCCAAACACAGTAACAGCAAAGTCTCTAATGGAGACGTTACTGGGCCCACTCGAGCAAATTGATGATCAATGGGAGGGCCTTTACTTTACTTTACTTTAAATATTTTAATTAGCTCATTAATAATGATTTAAGTTTGAATGAAAAGTTTACCTGCCAAGACTTGGCAGGGATTTGGAGAGGAAATTCTCAAATTAGAAGAATGATTTGTCCATAACACCCAAAAGTAGAGAGCGAAAGGGAATGTGCCTGCCACAGAGGCAGGGGGTGGGGTGGGGTGGGGTGGGGTGGGGGTGGTGGGAGAAATACTGGGAACATTGGTGGTAGAGATTGGGCACTGGTGGAGGGATGGTTACTCGATCATTATATGACTGAAACGTAATCATGAAAGTTTGTAAATCTGTAACTGTGATTCATTAAAAAAAATTGAAGAAGGGTTTGGACTATTTGGCACTTTATTGTCTTCCAAGCACCTTTAATACCCCATTGTTTTGTTGGATTCAGCTAAGAAACTTAGGAGGAACAGTGTAGGAAGCATTCCTTCCATTTTACAGATGTAAACATCGACATTCAGAATAGTTAAGAGATCTACTTAAGCTCACTTAGCACTGCCATGGAAAAATTTCACTTAAGATCTCATTCTCACATACCTCTTCTGGTAAGCCTCCTTTCTAATTCATCTTAGGCTTTATCCTTGGACAGACCAGACCCTTTCTAATCTGACACTAGCCCCCCACTTTCTGCCAGTAGGAAAAATAGGGGAAAGGAGAAGGAAGAGCCTAAAAGATTTAGAAGAGGGCATGACCTGTCCTTAGCCAGGGGAAAAGACTTGTGCTCACTTAGTGACCCTGTTAGAGGCACTCGTCTAATTCTTCTGTTTTGGGGCCACTCCCAGACATGGCTGCTCAGGGCTTATTCCCCATTCTGTGATTATGGGTCACTCTCTCTGGTGCCCAAGTGACCATATGGTACCAGGGGTCAAATCTGGGTCTCCTGTATGCAAAGCATATGCTCAGCCCATTGAACAAACTCTGACTCCATTTTTTTCTTAGTGGTAGAAGGGCTAGAACTTTGGGAGTCTTGTGGGGCCTGGGAATTTAAGGCCAGGAGAATAGGATAAAAAATAAGTTAGGTGTTTAGAAAAAGTCAGTGCCTTATGTGTGGGGCAAAGTGAATTGTAATGGGTAGGAGAGGAGTGAGTTCGGTGGGGTGGAGTTCCAAAGATTGGCTGCCACATGACTATAGATCCTGTTAATCACTGATCTGGACCAAGGCTTTCTCCGGTGGGCTTGTGGTTCTCCAACCAAACGGCTGGTGAAGCTTGAGCGTTCCACAGTGATTGTCTACAACACCAAGGAATAATGGCAGATAAAATCGAAAATACCAAGAGGCCAGGATGTAACTTCATGGGTGGAATGTCATGCTCTGCTTGTAAGAGCACCCCCCCCCAAAAAAAAATCTAAATGCTGTAATCAGATACAGAGTTTATGCTAAACCAGTGATCAGCTGATACCAATCTTCTATATTCTAGGAGAGACAGACACAGAGGAAATCAAATTTTAGTTTGTGTGGTGCTGGGGTTAACTCACAGCCTACACAGCCTAGTAATGTGCAAAAACACCTACTCCATCCCTGACCTATATCCCAGAGCCCAGGAAAAATAATTCAGCATGTTCTTTTGAAAACTTTAAGAAAATCAAACCAATGATTGGTTACCAGAAAGAAAACGGGGGAGAAGGGACAGTAAATTAGTAGAGGGTTTAGTTGTATGGCGAGGGAAAGAATGAACTTTTAGTGGTGAATCTATCTTTCTTTTTGTTGTTGTTTTTGTCCACCCCTGGAAATACTCAGGGCTTACTCCTGCATCTGTGCTTAGGGATTACTCCTAAGCAGTGTTCAGGATACTCTATGGAGTCCCAGGGATTGAATCAGGGTCAGCCGCATGCAAGGTGAGTATCCTACCCGCTGTACTATCCAACTGATCTCTTACTGGTAAATGTAGTTTATATAGATGTTGATTTGCGGGGGCTGGGGGTGCTCTGGAAACAATATGGGGTGCTGGGATTGAACCTGGGTTGGCTGCACACAAGGCAAGTGCCCTACCCATTATTGCTCTGGTCCCCATCTGTTGATTATTAATGATGCCCTCTGAGAAGAATTATGTCATAAGATAATTTTACTTCAATTGAAATATTTATTTATTCTGTTGATAGATGGTTTGTGTAAAGAGAACCTTGTTGACCCTTTACAATAATTATCTTTCCTCCTCATCCCCCACAAAGTCGTCTCTGGCTCTTAAACACTGCTGCAAGAATTGATATAAAGAAAATCTGTTGTTATAATCTGTTCTGTGGAAAGCAGGTTTTTGGTTTACGTTTCAAGAATGAGTAGAAAAAAGAGATTATGAATATGGACAGACAAGAAGGAAAATTTTTGGAGGCAATAAAATTTGAGAATTTGAGAAAACGTTCTCTATTTAGTGTTTTTACAAATTGCAACTGACTACCATTATTTGTTTTAGTAGTGGAACTGTTAACAAAAAACCAGACGGACTTGGGGTACCTCTGAGGGCAACAGGAAGCCTTGGAAAGTTTCAGACAGCAAAAAAGAGGTTGCTGGAGTTGGAAATTCTATATGTATTAAAATGTCATAGCTTAAAAATAAACTACTTTTAAACAATTCAGACAAAATGAAAATAAATACTTGAAATCTAACATCCTTTTCTTCAAGATTATTAAATTATTGGTAACATCTCAAATCTATTTATAGCGTCAGAAAAAAACTGGACCATTGTAAACACGCTAGTCTGTAATCAATTTTATTTCCTCTGGAGAATAAATTGTGAATAGATGTCAATAAATCTATCATAATTTTAAATGGTTGCTTAGTGCTGCATCGTTTGTGTATATAATTTGCTTAACCAGCCTTTTGATGAAAACTTATGCGTCGCCCCTCTCCCCCGCAGCAATCACAACCTCATATAATAACCTCGTGCACTCATTTTGTCCAGATTGTTCTTTTTGGTGCTACATGTTCAACCCAGGGTTTCATCTGCGACAGCCCGAGCTCTACCAACTGAGCTATGTCCCAGGCCTTGTTGCTCTACTTAAGGTAAACTCTAAAATAAAGACAAAAGTAACGCAGTTGCGTTAAGAAAAAGGTCCGTTTTCCATTTGGATTCAGATTGCCAAATCAACCTCAGATTCGCGGCCACCATTTGCTGCAGCAGTTCTGGCCGAGCCGGCGGCCAAGAGGATGAAAAAGAGAGTCGACGCACAGGTAATCTATCCCAGCTCATTCAGGCCTGTCCTCGGTGGGCTGGCATAGCCCTTCCCGTATTCCTCTTTCACGTCTCTTTCTTAATATGGAGGAAGAGCTGAGGACTGCAGAACTGCATCTCCCAGCGTTTTTGCAGTGTACTCCCTGGGAACTGTAGTACCCGCTGTGAGAAGGGGCCGGAAGAAGGGCGGGAGGTTGCGGGGCATGCTGGGAAATGTAGTCCACGGGGGGCGGCGACGGAGGAGTCGCGGGGTGGGGGGGCCGCCTCACACGCGCGCGCGCGCGCCTAAAGCGACGGCAGCCGGGCCTTTCCCACACCGCCGCTTAGGCGTGGTGCCGCGGGGCAACCCCGCTTTCCAAACACGCCGTCCTCGAAAGTGCGAGGAGCCGCCGGCCGCGGGCTGGCTTTATCCCATTGTCCGCGGCCGGAGAGGGCGCGGCCCGCCGGCGTCGCGCGGGTGGCGGGAGGCGCAGGCCGCGCGCGCGGGCCGGAGCGAGGCACGCCGGGAGTTGTAGTCCGGGCGCGCCGAGGCGGCGGGACGTGTCGCGGCGCCGCGCCGGCTCCTCCTTCCCCGCCCTTCTCAGCGGTCCCCCGCCCCCTCCCTCCGCCCCCTCCTCCTCCTCCCCGGGCCGCAGCCGGGCGTCCCCTCCCCCCACCGTCGGGCTGCTCGGCGGCGACTGCAGAGAATTCGGAGCCGAGGCGCTGAGGAGGAGCAGCAGCAGGAGGAGGAGGAGGAGGAGGAGGAGGAGAGGAGGAGGAGGAGGAGGAGGAGGCTCCCCGTCTCTGCGCGCCATCCGCCGCCGCCTTCCCGGACGCGGGCGAGGGAGCGAGAGCGTCGCTGCTCGCAGCCTCGGGAGGAGACAAGGGCATCGCCGCCTCAGCCGCCGCCGTTCTCGCCTGCAGCGGCTCGCTGGTGAGGAGAGACCCCCCCCCCCCCGCGCCTTCTCCCCAGCTCCCGGGGTCCGCGCCCCCGCGAGCCTGGGCCGGTGGTCCCGGGGAGAATGGGAGCGGGGCCCGCGGAGCCCCCCGCGCGGGCTGGGGGAAGGGGCTGAGGTCGCGCTGGAACGGCGGGCTCCGGGCGAGACTAGTCCGGGAGCGGGGTGGGCTGAGGGTGGGACCCCGGCAGGTTTGGGGGGTGGGTGGGTGGGGGGGCCGCGCCGAGGGAAGGCGACTTTCCGCGGAGAATGGCCCACCTGGGTCGGGCGCGAGGCGGGGCGGGGGCGGGGGTCGGGGTGGGATTGGGGATGGTTCCCGAGGGGGCTGGCTCTCCAGGGGGGAGGGGTCTGAATGAGGAGGGGGCGCGGGGGTCGTCCGGCGGAGCGGTTGACAGCTTGGGATCCGGGCCGGGGTGCGGGGTGGGAGGAGGCTTTCGGCAGCGAGGGGGGCTGCGGGTCGCACCCGGGTGGGGGCAGTGGGAGACGGGGCGCACCGAGGCCAGGCTGGGCGGTTGGTCGGGGCGCGGGGCTGAGACCCCCCGCTCGGAGCGGGCACCCGCCGCGCCCCAGGGCTGGTGGAATTTGTGGAGACTTCGGGCACGGCAGGGGCGAGGAGTGCCGAGGAGGTGGCATTCGGGGCTCTCCTGCAGAGTGCTCAGCGAGGTTGGATGGACGCTGATGGGCGTGTGGGGACCGGGCGGCTGGGGGTGACCGGGAAGGCCCAAATGGACGGACCGAGATGGAAATTGGGGGTGGCGGGGGCACAGTGTGCTGGGATGGGGGGGGGGGCGGGGGAATCGCAGAACTCCTGGAAGGGGCGTCCTTCGAGAGCGCCCTGCTGGAGCAGAGGGCACAGAAGACATCCTTGGGCTGGACGCACTGAAAGAATAGCGACGGTCGCTGAGCAGGGTTGGGGCTTGGCGTCCTCACGGTCCTTGGCCAAGGTGGCGGGGTGGGGGGGGTGGGGGGGCGGTGAGGAAGGAATGTCTGAGATGAGCTGGTAGAACTGGAGCGGTGGTTGCTGGTGGTGAGGTCACAGGGGAAGGAGGAGGAAGGAGACCCCTGGAGTTTGGTAGGGATGGCAGCAGCGGGGATGCGGGGATGCAGAGGGGCCCGGGAGCCGGGGCTGAAAAAGGGGACTTGGATGATTCTGGGGAGGAAGTATTGGAAGGACGTGCAAGAGACTCCAGACGGCTCGGACTTCGATGATGAGCGGCTGGGGAGGCCGGGATGGGGGCAGGGTTACTAGCCAGAGGGGACCCGACGGAGGGAAGAGACCGCGCAACATTACAGACTTGTTCATTTCTCGTGTTAGTTTCCTTTATTTGAGTGTCCCGAGGAAGAAAAATCCTCCCGAAGGGGAAAGTTGGGAGGGGCTGCAGTTAATTACAGAGGAGGAACATCTTCTGTAATCCATGGAACCTGAAAACAAAAGTTGAGGGGTAAAAACACCCTCTCCCAAACTAAAGGCGGAGAAGACTGGAATGAGATCACTTGCTTTACATATGATGTCTCTGACTTCTCTCTGCCCGCCCCACTCGTGTGTTGAAAAATTAGCCCTGGAATTTGGAATGTAATAGATTTGAAACGCTGTAGATAGTAAAGGAAGCGTTTTTTGCTTTGGAACTGATGAATTGGACTGAAAAGATATGAGATTGAATGTATTTCCTAGTCAGGCAACATGCATAGACACAGAAAGAGCTTAGGCCTTTTTTTTCTTCCTCTTAAAATTGATTGCTTGAAGACTCCATTTATTGGTGTCCTGGTTTGCAAGGCAATTAGGCCCATCATTGTATTGCAGGCTAATAATCCTGAGATGAATCTTGGCACTCGGCTTTATGTAAACAGAGAGAAGACAGGAAATATGGAAATGTCATAAATATTCATAGTGAGATGGATTGGTATTGATGGCGTTTTTCATTTGATTCTTTCTTGACACTACATGATAAGATTTGAAATAATCGGACTTATTTCTGTATACTGAATATTCTTTTCAAGGTATACAGGTAGAATTATATCAGGTGTGGATAGGTAAAGTGTGTAAAAAAATTTAAAATACCGTTTTTTTAGATGATGGTGTTGATACAGGCACATTGCATTACTAGAAAAAACAATGGTCTCCAACTGGGGAATATAGCTCAGCGATAGAGCACTTGCATTGCATGTGTGAGGTCCTGGGTTTGCTCCCCAGAAAAAAACAAAAACAAAACACTGAAGATAATTATCTCCATCTATTCATCAGGAATTTTATTTAAAGACACATGCTCATTCTTTTGGTGATGCTGGATGGAAGGTGGAGGGGGCTGTGCATGGAGGAATCATCTTTAGGGAAATAATTTTCTGGACTTAATTGCATTAACTATGATAAGTTAAACATCAAGTGGCTGTTGATTAGGGCTCAGGCAGAAAAAAAGAGGAGTGATGTAAAGAGGATAAAATTGGCACCAATGGGATAGAAATAATTATTTTTATATTTTAGAGTTCAGTTCAGAAGCCATTTTCTTTGGCTTTTCCAGTTGAGCACATTAAAACACTCAGTATTTAGGACCCTTTTTTTAAATGTGTGTATGGGGTAGTTTCAAAATGGGCTGATACAGTAGTGATATGATAGTACAGCAGGCGCTAGGCGTTTGTCTAGCATGTGACCTGTCTGATGCCTTTGATCCCCAGTACCCAATATGGTCCCTCGAGCCTGCCAGGAGTGATCCCTGAGCTTAGAGCCAGAGTAAGCCCTGAGCACCTTTGGGTGTACCCCCAAAACAAAAAAACAAAACAAATAATGGACTGATGATGAAAGGTTGAGCTTATTCTTAGAATTGAAAGTGTTTTGTTGCAAGAAATCTTGCTGGGGACTGGAGAGACAGTACAGTGGACAGGGTGCTTGCCTTGCATGCAACCGCTCCAGGTTCAATCCCCAGTATCCCCTATCCAGCATCCCATATAGTTCTCCGAGCACTACCAAGAATATTCATTCCTGAGTGCAGAGCCAGGAGTAAGCCCTGAGCATTGCCAGGTGTGGGCCAGATACAGAACAAACAAAACAAATTTTCAGAATATTTTTGGCCCCCAAACAAAACAAAGCAAAATGAATTTCAGGCTGTAACTGGGGAGGCTGGGCTGGTAGGTTGGTGGGAGGAATCCTGAGGACATTGGTGGAAGGAGGGGAACATTGGTAGTGGGATTGATACTGTAACATTTCATGCCTGAAATAACTATTAGGAGCAACTTTGTAAATCATGGTGTCTTAATAAAAGTTAAAAAAAAAGAGAAAGAAATCCTTTGATTTGAAGAGTTTAGGTTTGAGTTGTTACTTGTAATTTGATGAGAGTGTAATCTAACTAATGTAAGAATTTCTCCATATAGCTTTTCTCAGGGGTCCAGACATTACTTTTGTGGATCTGCAGGTTTGATTTAGAAGGTGGGTTGTTTATATTAAAGTTGTAACTTTTGAAAACTCAAAGTGAAAAATAGCTTGATGGGTTTTCTTCCTCCACACATGTGGTCATCTGGGTAGTAGAAGTGTGTGTAAAGTATTTTTTGAGTACTTCTGTGTCATTTGATTCTTCAGGTACATTGGTGAGAAGGAGAAAGCAGATGGATGTATTGATGGACAGGCATTTGAGTAAACTGAATAGACTACAAATTAAGGGGTCAGAAGTTAGGGTTCAAATTCGCTTTTCATCATTTGATAGCTGAATAATTTCAGTAAAGATATTTGAACCTTTCAAACTTAGTAGTAATGATTGTATAACATTGTGGAAGTAACTTCACTGAATTTTGCACTTAAATTTGGTAAAAATGAAAAAAAGTTTATATTTTATTAGTGGGACAACAAATTGCTTTATATTGTGAAATAAGCTTATAGTCTGAAAACTGAATACATATTTGGAATATTTGTTCAGTATTTGTTTACATTTTGCTTGTGAAATGCCAGGGGAAGTAAATATGAACAAGAACTGTCATTAAAGAACTTTCAGTGTGTGGGAGAGAAATAGACAATTGAAATATAGTGAGAAAAGTGAGACTAAACTATTGTGGGTTGAGAGTGTGGGTTCTGGTAACTCGGGAGATAACTTAAAGGGCTGGAGTGCATGTTTTAAATGCAGGAGCCTTGGGTTTGATTCTTGGCATGCCATAGTATATAGCTGAATATAGCTCAGACCCCCTCAAAAAGAAAGTGTAGATTCTGAAATCTGTCCTCCATTTTCTCCTAGTGGTATCACCCAGGGCATAGTGAGCATAAAAGTGGGCATAAAAGAACTTTTTGAAGGTCATTTGAAGAGTAAATATGGTGATATACACAAAGCTTGAGCTGTGTATTATAGTGACTCATTTAAAACATTAGTTGGGGGGTTGGAGCAATAGTCGAGCAAGTAGGGTACTTGCCTTGCACTAGACTCACCTGGATTCAATCCCTGGCATCCCATATCGTTCCCTGAGCACCTTCAGAAGAAATTTCTGAGTGCAGAGCCAAGAGTAACCGCTGAACATTGCCAGGTGTGGCCCCAAAACAAAAACAAAACATTGGGGCCAGGGAAATAACTCAAAGGGTGGAACTTTTGCCAGGTTAGTACAAGACCCTGGTTTTGATCCCTACAACTTCCCCTCCCCATGCGCCCCTAGATGTAGCCCTGGTGGCTTCCATGCACCGCCTGAGTGGTGGCTCCTAGCATCACTGACCTGCATTGTCAGCTGAGCATGTCAGACCTGGCACCATGGGCCTAGTTTCATTGGTACCCCAGGATCTTTGTATTGTTGGGGAAACCCTCCCCAGAAGAAGAAAAAGCACTGTTGTTGCCATTTACCCTGGGCAGCCCTATATAAATTGCTCTGCTTTATTTATTTGGTTCACACCCGACAATGCTCAGGGGTTATTCCTGGCTCTGCAAGCAGGAATTACTTCAGGTGGTACTTGGGGGACCATATGAGACACCAGGGATCGAACTCTGGTTGCCCATGTGCAGGGCAAGTGTCCTAC